TTTCAAAAAACATTGAAGGGACAAACCGAAAATTGGCAATCGGTGATTGATAATTGAACGGTCAAAAGGCACAGTGGTCATGTATCTAAACACGAATTATCCAGGTGTTTTAAAGGGTATCGTCGACTTTGTGAATACTACATGTAAATATCTCAACAACAACATCTGTGTTATTGACAAGAATAATGATACATACTGTACAAGTCATTCCAGCTATTATTGCATCTTGGAATGACCTATCACATATCGTGTATCACCTATCRCGTATCACCTATCGCTTATCACCTATTGCTGTTTAAGCCCCTTCGAACTTTTTTGAAATAGCTGTATATATAAATATCTCGAAATATATCTTTTGCTTTGACAGAGATGCTTCATTTGGAACTTGTTCCTATAATCTTTCACTAATGGATGTTCTCAGTGGGCTGCAAAAGGTAARCAACTTTTTTAACATCTCTGAAACTCTTTTTATTAYATAATTACCAATGAAATATCTATTTTTCTCTATTTCGAAAAATTGATATCTTCACACGTGAAAATAACATGTTATTTTCACGTGTGAAAATAACACCATTGCGATGACTATTCAAAAATACATGGAAAGAATTGCCTGAAAAAGCCAAAACATACTTCATTGATAATTATGTAATAAACATAATATTACATGGGCGCTTGGAGATACGCAATTTATCTTCTCGTGTTGAAAATCTCTCACTCGTTCGCTGCGCTCACTTGTGAGAGATCTTTTCAACACTCGAAGATAAATTTCGTATCTCCGCGTGCCCATGTAATATCCTCTATATAAGACCTATCATTTGAATAATATATAGATCATGGAGTTTACCTTGCTTAATTGGGCCCCCAACACAATCTCCTTCCCTCACAATGCTGTGGTGTAGCAAGAGTATACCCAAGTTGATTTTCACCAATTCCAAAAGTAGCCCAACAAAATAAAATAAGGAAAATATACGATTTTTGGTCAAACTTGCCCTCTTAACTCCTAAACTCCTTTGCCTGCCACTACCCTAGCGAATGTACCAATACACTTACGATTGTGCAATAAAAAAAGGAAACAAATCCTGACCTAACTCTCTTCTGAGATTTCCTCTCAACATGATGTATTTTTGCTCTAGGGACTAGAACACCATTTTTTCGATTTTGATACCTTTGATGTAGAAGAATATGAACACTATGAGGTAAGTAATGACTTTTTAACAACTAAAGCTGAAAATTGCTGTGTCATACATGTATATCACATATATAAATACCRTTCTGCTCTATTTTTCAGTGGTTTCTCCTTTTTCCTGTTTCCTACCTATACCTATCCTAGTTTTTCCCGTCTCTCTCATTTATCTCTTTCTCATTTCTCCATCCCTGATCCATACTTCTCTATTCATGCTGGTTCTACTTATTGTAAAATATATGAATATTATAGACCCGCACATGGCYATGCATTTTAATGGATCACAAAGGTCATTTACTTGCCATTCGTGTGTATAAAATGTGCACCAGCAAGTAAAATATTTATTACRCAAGGGAAAAAAATATTCTTCATTAATTTGTTGTCTCTGTATTGATAATGAACTTGATGTGCATAGATAATGTATTGTCTTTTTATCACCCACATACTGTCATTATTTATAGWTTCTGATCAATTAATGAACACATATATTTTGAATATAAATACTAAAAAAATGTTTAATAAAATACAAAAAAAAAACCACATATGTTTTGAATACAATATAACATATATTTTGAATATTATTTTGATCTAATATGTATTTTCCCCTTCTTCAGAGAGTTGAAAATGGAGATTTTAATTGGATCGTTCCAGGTTAGTAAATAAAATAATAGCATATAACGCAGTATTTCAAGGAGGTCTATAATGATTTTAATTTTAAAACCAATTATTTAATAATTGTGCTTTAATTTATAGTCATTTCATYGATAATTAAATGTTTTTTATGAATAAAAACACTAAGTTTTAAAAAACKTCCTTTAATTTTTATCATCCTCAGCCAATTCACCTTTTCGGCGCTAGATTGGATTGTGTTACGGTCACCAAACAGTTCGGACATTGTCTCAGATCCCCATTCACTGAATTTAAAGAGAAAATTTAGGTAGATTTCTTTAGTTAGCTATCTTAACCGCAGTAAGAAAAGCTTCGATCAAGCTAGAAAAATGATCATTTACTTGTATTTAGAGAACTAAYTAAACATTAACCAAGTAAATAGKTCATTTAGAGTCGGTACATTTTTACGGAAATTTGAGAACAATGTCTGAAYTTTTTGGTGACCGTAACACAATCTAAAACAATTTATACCCCATGACGGCTAGCGCCGAAAAGGTGAATTCAATAAGGCCCATTAAGTTTTAGGTTTGTAATATGTAAAATGGGGTCCCTGTTGGTCTGTTGGCTAATAAATTAAATGGAAGTTTACTGAAATGGTTCAATATTGCAAACCCCCTGCAAACTTCCTTCCARGCTATTTATTTGATATTTGTTTAAACTAAAAGACCTCTTTGCACTGGAGTAAGATTTATAACTTTGTCAATGATAAAATATTCAGATAATTTGAAGAAGTTTTGTCTTTTTTTTGTATTATTATATCTCAGGCATGGCCTTTCATTTCCTGATAAAAAAGGAAATACAAATCGCAAAGTTCCTTCCAGTCCACTCATTTAGTATTTGTTCAAACTAAAGGACCTCTTTGCACTGGTGTAATTAAGATTCATAGTTTATCTATGTATTAAGCTTTGGCTGTTGTATCACAGCATGGGACAATTACAATAGAGCTATCTAGGCTTCAAGCTAGATGAATTTAAGCCCAAAGATCKAATTGGAATTCTGAAGTTGATTTTTGAGGAAGGAGGAAAAAGTTAAAACCTGGAGAAAGACCCTCCTAGAAAAGGATAGAACCAACAAACAACCCTATTCACATACTACAACGAGACTGGYGGGACTCAAATGCAGGCCRCATTGGTGAGAGGCAGCGCATTGGCAGCACACTCCACCCTTGCTTCTGTTTTCATGAATTGTCATAAATTTGATGATAACCTTATTCTTTTTTTTTTTTTTTAATTTTTCAGATAAATTTTTAGCCTTTAGTGGACCCCATAACAAGAGTAGAATAGAGAATGGTAAGTTAGACCTAACATTAATTTATTTATTGTCACACTGTCTTTATGTTTCTTTATTGAAATTTCAAAAAAACCTGCAGATTTCCTGGCAATTCAGGCTAGACCGAGAAAGAATTTTTCTCCCAGTAATTTGAAATTTTCTAACAACAGGAGAGACACTGAAGAAAAGTCTATAATATTTTTGAAATGACTTTTTTTACAGTGCATTTCACATTACTTTACTGCGGCGGGTTGGGACGTTCGTTCGGAAGTTCCCAAGTTGGCAACAAGCTTCGGAACTTCGGAACCGCCACGGTAAAGTAATGTGAAATGCACTGTAACTCATGGATATGCAAAGTGTAGAAACGAGTTATTGTGATGGGCCACTCACTCACTCACTCACTCACTCACTCACTCACTCACTCACTCACTCACTCACTCACTCACTCACTCACTCACTCACTCACTCACTCACTAAGTTAGTAGATTGATAATTATTTGTCTTTTGTCCCTTCCTAGGATATCCACTTCATGCACCAGAATCATACATCCCCTATTTTAAAAAACACAATGTTTCAACAGTAGTACGGCTTAATAAGAAGTTGTATGATGCTCGGCGGTTTACAGACCATGGCATTGAGCATTATGACTTATTCTTTATTGATGGAAGTGTCCCTAGTGATATGATCGTCAGGTAAGCTAGCAAGATTCAATATATATGGTTATAAACATTTGTGGTGAGAACAGGGACTAAAAGAATTGTCTCAAATTGTTTTGTACAGAATTTAATCAATGCAGTGTGGTGATAGTGCTTGTTGTAATCTAATTTTTTCATTTTTYCCCCTCTTAGACGATTTCTCACAATAGCTGAAAATGCAAAAGGAGCAATTGCAATCCATTGTAAAGGTTAGTATTTTATAAGRAGTTGTATCAATATACCCATCCCAACAGGAGCAGATCTAGAAGAGAGTTGCAGAATGTGCACCACCATGCTAGACAAAATTCATATATATACAGTAACACCATTCAATTCATTATATTTTCATTCAAGTCAGTGTTTTCGTGATACATTTTTCATTTTGATCACTTCATACACTAACTTTGCTAATGAAAATTTTCTCTTGTCCATTTTGTCTCCCTGATTAGTAGGGCGCTTGTGCCCAGCTATAGAAGTTTTGAGACTTTAATAAAGTTATTATTATATTATTATTATATATTCCAGTTCACCCAGGGGGCAAAATATCAGATTTTTTTTTAATTAATGAGAAAACGTTTGGCCATGCCACATCATTCTGCTCCCTGAGAAAACTGGAATGAGAAACGTTTGCATTAGCAAAGTAATTTTGTATTTAACAATTTCATTGAAGTGACAAAAGTGAAGTGTCATGAATTGAATTCATTTCTTGCTGCCACCAATCAAAATTAATCGGTCGGTACCTTTTATGTTCTTGACTGGCGGCAGTGAAAAAGTGGAATGCCAGAGTTCACAAAAAAAACTGCATTAAGATACACACAATATCTTTAATAACTTCAATAAACTCCTTTATGTTAATTAATTTTTTTCAGCTGGTCTTGGTAGAACAGGGACCCTTATTGGTGCATACATAATGAAACACTTTAGATTTACTGCTGGGGAAGCCATTGGTTGGATCAGGTAAAGAAAATGAGACATTTATACTAATCCAGAATACTAATCCAGAAAGCATAATAAATGCTCATTTCTGAAAGAATGAATAAATGGATGGATGAATGAATGAATTTCTGTCCCATATCATATCATTGAAATGAGAAGAAAAAAAGTGGCTCACTCAAACATGCGTCAGTGGATGGATTAATGAGATAAATGGATGAGCCATGGATAAATGATTAATGAACTTATGACTCAACTTGTGTTATTTTTATTTTTATTAATWTTAACAGAATATGTAGACCAGGATCAATCATTGGTCCTCAACAGAATTTCCTGGAAGAGTAAGTGTCATTTATTCTAGACCTCGCTAATGCTATTTTTAGATCGTCTAAATGCTATAAATATTATACTAAATCCTTGTTGCTTGATTTATTAGAAAACAAGCTAGTTTGTGGATTCAAGGAGACATCTATAAGAGTAGAGAAAAGGACAAGAATGACAATTGTAAGCAGAGTCTATTTCTTAATCACGAAATCATGACCGGAGCAAAATTTACCATGATATTGATTGCTTGGTATCAATCACATGAATGAATGTTGTGATACTCATTTTAATCATCTGGAATATTCCTTAGAAAACTTGATAATAAGCTGGTTAGAAATTCGAACTGTTCTTTACATAGTCCTGCAAACAAAGTGCATTGTGGTATAGGTTGGGTACAAACATCAGATCATGTAAGGTGTGGTGAACAAAGAATGTTTTTATCAAGCTAGACCACAATAATAATAATAATAATAATCATAATAATAATAATAGTAGCAAAAATGTCTGAAGTTGAAATAAACATATAATAATAATCATATTAACATTTATTTTAACACGATGGAATTACAGTTACAAACTGATGTGGTCGTGTGCCTAGGTAATTAACCCTTTATAAAATACCCAAACCAATTTCCCTTGATGCTCATGCACCATGTTTGCTATATCCGAGGCCAGGAATAACATTTGTTGATGAYAACCTATAAAAAAGTACTGACTTTATACAAGTAATAATAATCAATTASCAATTAATAATAAATAATACTTTTATTTATGATTATTTTAGTTGAAACCTTGGGTATCACGAAGATAACGAATGGCGTTGATACGATTAAACTTGGTGATTCTGTTACTTCATCAAGATCTTCAACAAGATCTAGAATCTACAAGGTATGGTAGATATATGTTAGTGTGATTGATGATGATGATGATGATCCCATGATGATGATGATGATGCCAATGACGATGCTTTGTCTGTTAATGAGCATGTTGGTAAAAAAAGCCATTGCTACTAAACTTGTGCGAAACGTTTCTAGAYACACTTAACATATAGATCTTTACCGAGTGACAAAAACACGTTTCTAGACTTGTTAAATATCGCTTCCAAATTACAAGTACAACATTGTACAATTTGCTGTGGTCACGAAGTAGGTCTTAGTAGATGTCAATCAAGACGTTTCCATGATATTTCTTAGGCAAYTGCCCTTGAAAACTTTGTGTTTACCTGCAATGTCATGGTAACCTTTTTGACGTCCACCTTAACCCACTTTTGTTGTGKCGTGAAAATAGTAAGATTTCGCACTTGTGATTGATAAGCACGGTAATTTATGTGGTACTTATTTGTATTTCTTATCTCAGGACCTGACTCCATCATCGTTAACCCTAACGTCCTCATCAAGGGTGACACACACGCCAGCCCTTAAAGAAATCACCCTTGACTGTAGTGACAAGAACGGCAATGTCACGCAAGGAGATGAACTTAGAAGRATAAAGACCAGCCGAGCACTGAGGCATCCGAGATCTGCAACCACTGGTGCTCTGAGGTACTCTATATGATATAATGAAGCATCCTTTGTGCTAGCGTTTCTTGTTTGCTAACTTGGTGGGATACCTGTGGTGTGTAGGCTGTTCTTCACAGGACAAGGATTCAAAATGCTAAAGAAAGTAAAAGAAGAAAGACTCCTGTGTAGTAGAAAAGGCCTCGGTCTTTGGTTCGACCCGTAAATCAGTTGGGAGAAAAATCGATTTGTTCTTAGCAGCAACATAGTTTTTCCGTCCTTTGGCTTCCATGTAACTATCGCCGTATTTAGCAGCATTCCTTTATTTGATTTATCTACAAAAAATTATTTTAAAATCGTTTTCTTTTTCTGTTTCAGAATGGATGACATGAAATTAGGCCACTCGCGCTCTTCCTCAGGGCAGTCGCTTCGGTAAGTATCACTGTAGCTGGAAACTAGAAGTGTGAAATGTTTCAAAGTGCGAGCTTTTTCTATGGAAAAAAAGTCTTTTGGCCCTTCATGTTTTAAGGGATTATATAGCTTGAAACGGCCTTTGCAAGACAAACTTAACAAGGCACAGTGTGATACGATGGAATCTTTTACGTCGAGCAACTTGCAACGACATCTTAAAATTTCACGAACCTCTTCCAGAACAAAAGTGCCGATATTTTGTCGTGGACTTTATCATCTTTGTCATACCATAGTCATATATACATACTAACCTTCTTTTTCTGTTTTTCATCAGGTTAACAAGTTCTTCAAGCATGCAAACAGTAATGTCACCGCTAAAAACATCTAAAGTTTCTGCTCTTCCTCGCAGAAGCACGAGAAACTCTACTCATCTTCTTAGTAAAAAGTGAGTTTTGAGATCCTAGTTTTTAACATTTTCGCACTCGTAGAAATTTGTTGCTCAATGTTCGAGCACCAGTTGGAGAATGTCATCGGCGCAGCCAGCGAGCGTGTCCGGCGCGAGAGGTCCGTTGCTCTCAAATAGAGCTTGTTGAGAGCAAATATTAAAACGACAATAGTATGTGGATCTATTCGATGTGCACTGTCCATTAACTATGCGTACAGTCTGCGGTAGTTCCATGAAAATGCCTTGATGGTAACGATAAATATTGTGTAATTATTCACAGTACGCGGACAAGTACACGGTCAGGAGGTAGAGCCCTTAACCTTGCTGCTCTAGCAAATTCATAACTCCTTCCTGTAACATGCTGGGAATGAAACAGATCAAAGCATAACAGAAATGGCATAACAGAAATGGTATATCGATTTCTGTCCTGGTAGGCTGAAAACGAATTTTTTCTTTGTTGCTGATGACGTTGGTTGTGGTGGTTGGTTGCATAGGCCTTTTCTGAGCTCGATAAAAACGATGCATTGTGGTCTAGCTTGGATACAAACGACACCATACAAGGCATGATGAACAAAAGAAGTTTGTAGCAAGGCCACAATGCACCATATTCGCTATCTCAGAAAACGTCTATGAGATATGATTATTAACAGGGCTGACAAGCTATGGACAATTAATCTAGGTCCATTTATCCTCARGTAGGGAGGGGTATGCAGTTATATTACGAACATTGTTGTTTTGGAAGCAAGCTATTTGTAGGACATCATTTTTATTTTTGAATATTAACTATTTTTAACCGTCCTATGGATTTCGTGAACAAATCAAAATACTTAGTGTACTTTCTCATTCTCTTTTTTAATCAATTTTTGACAAAGCTACGCAATTCATATTTATAGGGTGTCTAAAATCTCACCTTAAAGTTGTTCCTGTACTCTAGAATATCATTCATGAAAAGGATAAGTCAGTAGCCCTTAATGGAGAAGTTTTTCCCACAAACGCTTCGCACGAATTCCGAGTTGAACCGAATTGGAAAATAAAAACTAGTGTTTTGATTTTCTGCAATAAAACCCACATTTTTTGCCCTCAATTTTAAGCTTTACGTTTTTCACTCGGAATTCCTATGAAGTGTCAAACAGCCATTCCAGGTGTGAGGGAAAAATCGGTTCGAGTTGGCATTGTGGTGCATTGTGGGACTGCTTAGGGGACAAAATAGACGCCATCTTGGAAACGTTGCCCTAAAACAGCCCCACAATGCACTGCATTTCCAACTTGACCCCGTTTTTTACTCAACATCGGAATGGCTCTCCTCACACGGGAGTCGACGTCTTGCCATAGGCATTGCTTTATAAGAATTATCCGGACTTAACTTTTTTTGGCGGGAAAAAATTGTTACAAATGATCTGCGGTGTAACCCTGTTATAAATAGATGACATTCTATTTTTAATGTAAATCCATTGTATATTCTTGTATAAAATTTTATTATAAAATTATGTATTCTCAAAGATTTTCTATTTTAATCAAGGAATCACCACGGTTTTAGGAGAACTTTGTAATGGAATAATTGAATAATATTAATTGTTATCCAATTTAATATTAGTGAAATGAAGGCAGTGTGCCTTTATTCTGTCGTTTTTAATAATTAGATCCTAATTCGTTTTTTAGTCCGTACCAGAAAGCGAAAGACTGGCTAAATTCTGTTTATTGGTAGTCTTACCATTTCCCCATACTTCCGGTTGACTTTCATTGGTCGGATAGAAAGCCTAGCGGAAACAAACTCTGAGAAACTTGCTGTAATTTGATCGAACGGAAAGTCAACCGGAAATAAAACCTTCGTTTTGCTCCGCAAAGTATCCATTTTGAAGCGATTCTAAAATTACGACCAAAATATTTTCGTACAAAAATCAAACTTCATATTACTTAATCGAGTTGTTATCAAATAATGTAAAGAATAGTCAATACTGGGTTATATTTACGGATTTTGGAATCGATATTTTTGCTGCTGTTTCCGTTACAGTGCTACCGAACCACACGTGTAGAAATCGTATGATTTGCCTTCCCAACAAAAATGGTTTTGGTGGACTCCAATCAAATGTTTGGATGTCATGGAAAACGCTTGATTGACGTCCACAGAGACCTATACTTTGTCGCGACGAAAAATCCTTGCGTGGTATTGGCCTTACTTAAACGGCCGCCACGTTAAATGGAACAGGATGGGAATCTGTCAATCAAATCACAAGAATATGACGTCACCTACGTTAGATTTGATTGACAGTTCTGTTTTTTAATACACAAACTTGGCTCCGGCTGCGTTTTAACGGGAACAGCTGTAATTTGATCATTATTTAGTTTATTCATTGTGAGGCATTTTTGGGAAGGGGGCAATCTTCATTAGTATCTTTCGTCAATGAAATTTTTACGTATACTTTTATATATTCCATCTCAGTTTTTAGGGCTTTGATATATCCAGTTTTATCATCGATATTTTGTAACTGATAAATAAGTATAATCTCATAACTGGATTTTGGATGAAAAATGAGTGAGCAGGTCACTTTGTGTTGACATAAAGTGCTGCATTAAATTATCAATTGTTTTACAAAAAATGGTGTCCATTTGATTTGTCTATCTGGTATCAATCACCCGTTAGCTTTGCTAGAAACCCTGAGGCCCGTCCCCTGTGATTGGTTATGTTTAGGGGCGGGGTTGGGGAAAGGTCATTGTTTTCCATTGTTCTACCCATGTGCGCCCTCCAATAGGACCACATCCTGAAATTCGTGAAGGACGACCCAAGCCTGAAGCCCGACTTTAATAACTCTGGTTTAGAGTCTTAAGGAGAGTTAACGTCGGCAAGGCTGCACGTAAGCTATTACCCATTCCGTGGTTGGGTCGGGTTGGTATTGTATTATATTTCAAGGTTGTAATATTTTCAAAATGTTTTAGGAGACATAATGGTGGTGAGGGTGGTGCACGAAAGAGGAAATTTTTTTAAATAGTTTATTCGCTTCGTCTAAAATTCTTTCAAATTTATTTCATAACGTTGGTTCTGCGGGAAAACTTCGCGAGCTTAAAATTTTTTCTTCCGTTTAGATCCTAATCATATTTTATTCCAACGGTCTGAATATATTCGGCAATCTTGTGGTCGTCGGAAACCAACATAAAATCCAAATTTCTGGAAATTGTTGAGCTTCAAAACAAGAAAACTGCTTAAATGCAAAGAATACATAATACCGAAAAGAAGTATTTATAAAATTGCAACAATAAATCTAGAGATATCCGATGGCAAAAATCAGGGCTTTTCCTCAAAATCAGTTATCGTCTGAGCAACCTCTGCGCTTGCGCGGACGTATTAATCCGCGTTGCAATGGGGCGAGTAATCCCGCTCAGARTTCTGGGTAATTTTAAAAATGGCGGATGAGAGGGCAAAGCTGSGAAGAAATGCTGAAGTAATAAAGGTATGTTACATCTAAACTTCGATTGATTTTTTACAGTTTCTAAACTAAAAGGAGATTAATACTTAAATTTAAAGATTCTGAAGTCCATATTACAAGTGGCTCAGTCTTTGAACCGTGCAATATGGCTTTATCAGCCGTTGTCTCAGCCTGTAGACTTTGATCATTTTAACTTCTAAAAGGTCTTCTAAAGTTATAAATACATTTTCTTAAAGCGAGAGGTAGATTTTTTGCTAGTCAGTTAACGATACCCAAGAGTGATAAAGTTAAAAGAAAAAGCTAAGGCGGCCATGGTGGTGGTATAAACAAAGTAAGAACATGAGAAATACAGTCTTTCAAGAAAATAATTCTCAACGCTTGGCCATGGCRCGAAGCCTTTGATGCTTATCCAGATTTAGGAGGGACCACTAAAACCGGGACATCTGAATGCTGTACAATGTAGTCACTAACACTGCCTAGAAGTGTACGGCGAATTGTACCCAGTCCTCTGTTGCCGATGATCACGAGGTCAGCATCATTATTCTTTACCATTTCACATATGGCTTCCCCTATACCACCAACAGCGCTTAGAGTCTTATGTTCCAGCTGAAAAATAAAAAAGCAGAATTTGTTCATACCGATTACTGTTGGGTATATTTATTTTATCTTGGCAATGACATGTTGCAGGCCCGTAGCTAGGGGGGGGGGGGKGCRGGGGGTGCGTTCGCMCCCCCCCCCCCTCCTTTCCCACGCGAGCTAAAGGTCCGCTTTTTAAGCAAGTGAGATTTTGGCTGGTATGATATTTTCACGTAAAACTAAGTAAAAAAAATCAATTTTACTTTAATAATTTATCTATACCTATGCGTCCTATGGGACTTTAAAAAAATAAAGTATATGGTTGGTCCACTTTTTGTAAATTAGCACCCCCCCCCCCCCCCAACAAAAATCCTAGCTACGGGCCTGTGTTGTCTCAGTAAATGGGAGGAAATTACGCTCAAAGAGCTAAAATGCTTAAATTAATATAAATTACTGAAATTAATGTTAAGTAAAAAGGTTTTCTCACTGACTTATTTGCGCACGCATCGTTGTGTCTAATATTAACCAATCAGAGGCCGCGTACCTGTACTTCATTGCACTGTTCTTCGYATTTTCCGGTAACTTTCGATGCTGCTTCCATTAATCGATTCATCATGTCGTCCCATTCTTCTCGTGAATGCGATGGGCCATCTATAATATATCCAAACTGTGATTAAAAACTTATGTTTCACAACCATCACTAGCTTCCCATGGGGATACTACACGAGGCTTCTTAATCTACACAAAAGGGAACACCTTCACTACAACAATGACACTCAATGGAGAGAACAAATCGAACAGACTCAACTGACATGATGCGGTACAGTCGAGAATCGAATCCTCAACCCCAGACTTGAACTACGAAGTAGTAAGAGACAGCGCCGTAGAAGCGCGTCAGGTCTACTCAGGTCTAGCTACGAATAAGCACTGATGTAATTTATTTGGGTCGCGCATTTTATGGGATAGGATATATTTGGTTAGCGCACTTCATTAAAAATGCGATTTATTTTTACGTTAATAAACGACAGTAAAAAATKTTCATCTCCCTACCCAGAGTCTCATGACTAAAGCGTTCAATACCCTCGTCTTTTTAATTTCAGTGGCTGAATAATGTGACTAAAAGCAGCTAGTAGTTCTTGTATTAAACAAACTTACGTGCTAACGTTGGCGCTGGTATCTGGGCGCCTTCAACCACATGTGCCAGCAGCACCTGATCTCCAGGCATGCGCATCCTGTCAAGGTACCCTGTTCATGAGAAAAAGTAAGTGACTTAATTAATTTTGTCGAGATAGTTTGAAGGGAACTTTCATCATTTATCAGGGGGAGGGGGGATGGGGCGGGGGCGAGGGCTGGAATTCACTACCCCCCCCCCCCCCGGATTCCTCCCGTAAATAATGAGCAGCTTCTAGGTGGATAATAAGATCCTGCGGAAGTTTTTTTCTTTATGGAGCTTGTACACATACAATGTCATGACTCTGAGAAAAGGTTCATGTTAAATTCACCATTGTGATATGATTTTTCTGTTTTGTAAAGTTTTGGTTGCTGTTGCTGTTGTTGTTGTTAAATTGTTGTGTTTCACCACATAACATGTAGGCCATCAATATATTAAGAGGGGTTTTGTTACGTTTTTAGAATAACATAGATAATAAACCTATATTTTTTATCTATTTTATCTTAATGCTTTTCCCCGGTTATGAACTATCATTCGACTAAATTGAAATGGGATGTAAAACAAATATACTCGGTAACATGAGTCAATAATAGTTCCTGGATCGATCTAATTACTTAAATCTCACTAAAATATTGAAGTGGAAAACGAAGCAGTTTTAACAGCGCGAACTCTAATTAACTAGATTCCAATTTCTAGAATCAGTCCCTCTTTCGAAATGTTTTACTTTTTTTTTTTTTTTTTCACTCTTTTTGAACTGATGTGTTACGTTGTAAAGATGGCTTACAAAGCAGGTGGCACAATTGAAATCTTCTTACTACGCATCTTGACAAGCCAAAACAACCGGTAAAATAATATTTTCATGAGGCATGGTTTACTATTTACACGATAAAATTTTGCGGAAAWCTCCATTTTCTCGAATGATTCTGAATTCATCCAGAATTCTGATGCAAAATGTAAAAAAAAAAAGTGGAGTTTTTATAGCCACATTTTTCATGGGTATTTTTTTATTTACGAAACATTTTTTCAGTACAATATTTCAAAATAAGCCTTGATAATTTCTTTTTCTTGTCGAACGACTGTCTGTGATAAAGACTTCTTGTGATAAACATCAGCTCGCAGGCTTGGAAGACTGATATAGTCTAATAATGTCAATCCGCATGACTCTCCTCTGTAATGTTCCGTTTGACAAGTTTGTCGGTGATATTAATTTTTTCGCTTCCTTTTGTTGCTTTTTTTTAGTAATCTTCAATRAATCTTTCTATGGGGAGTACCAACGCATCTTTACATGTAACTGAGTGTGCTAAGAGGTAGGGACTTCAAGTTTAGACTTTAATGAACCAATGTCTATGTAATGTCTAAGTGATTTGTTTTCTTCGCTAGCTTTCGTATTAATAATATTATAGCCTTGTTTTTTTCTTCTTTTTTCTTCTTCTTTTTGTCCTTTTTTCTTTTTTGACCCTAAATGAAAATTACGACAGCTAACTAGAAAGCTTTAGCTCCTTTCGCTGTCGTACACTTACACCTATTATATGTTAACTATAGTAAAAATTCTAAATATTATTCAAGCTATATATATTCTTGTAATTCTGTTATATAAAATTGAAAACAAATAGTGTAAATAAACTGAAGTTGAAATTGAAATTGAAATCAGTTAGAGTTATAACATTACCAAGAAGAGAAATGCGGAAATCCATTTACCATACTCAACCTTAGAAATGCAAACTAAGTTATAGCATAACCGTATGAGATTTACAAAGAAGAGAATCTCGTAGCTCGATATGAAAATATGATGATAAACTAGGCATTTTTTCTGCATACTTACAGTCAAAAGCTCGCTTGCTATGTTGGCTTTCGTTGATGGCTATAAGGACGTTTCTAGTCGGCATTGTGACTAAAATTTCTTCTCTGTCGAAGTAAAAAARGAAGAATTCCGATAATTAAAGCTTGCTCTTCGTTTAAAGTTTCAATTCTAGCGGCTTCAAAGCTTCCTTCGGCGTTCACTGGTCTGAAGCTTGTTCAGACTTGAGTCATGAATTATGGATTTAGTCATGCATAATAAGTAGCTCACATCACGAATGTGGTTTGTCCAAAGCTTATACTTATTTATTCAAGCCAAAACGATATGTTTAAATTCGAATTCTTATTTGCTATCTCACAAAGCACTGAAAAGTTTATCACAAATCTAGGTTAATTTTTCGATGACAGAATTAAACTGCGGACGCGCGCGGCAACGAATCGTCTGTTTTAGTGGCTCTGATACACATGTAAATCTTACAGTCACTTCCAGTCGACACGGAGAATTCCCGCTCAAATATTAATAATTTGCATAATCACAAGTTTTACTTCACAGCATGAAACATTTGGTCTACTACGCCAAGAAACTGTCTCTCTTGAGTGAAGGGTTTTTTTCTCCCTGTTCGGATTTTTCCGTCCCCCCCCCCCCCCCCCCCACCGCAAATGAAACCAAGCTCCCTAAATTCCAGTTCGATCTGTGAGTTAGCTGTGCACTGACTTATCATATTTCTACCGACAAGCTTTCGCTTGCTTGATGTTATTCACAAAAAGATAAAACAAAAAACAAAAAATAAAATAAAATAAAATCACAATGAAGACACACTGTCGCCATGTTGGCTGACACTGTACAAAAAATATAATAAAATGATAATAAAGAATAAATAAATAATATATACTAATAAATTTCTTTTTTTTACTAAATTTATCAACCTYGTTCCCAAGGCTCCTCGGCGTGAGAGGTCCCTGAAAACGAGGCTGTAAATTCACCCAACATGGCGTCTGTGGAAACGAGCGATATATTATTTCGTATGTTTTTTAATGATGATAAAAATGAAATAAAACCCGGATGTTACACTTATCATTCTTCTAATAAAATGGTAATATACGTGGACGCAATGATGTCCTGTAGGAAGATGTAATGGACCGGCGACTTCGACGATACGGCGGCTTCTTTTATGGGAAAATCTGATCGATGTGGCGTCTTAATTTATCTTTTGTTGTATTATCATGTGGTGAGCTGTTAATATCAATCGAAATATTACAGCAACAAAGCTTTATTTGCCTCCTGGACGCCTCATAATGCCTTGCGATCGAAGATGGGCGCCGTATCGTTGTAGATGGCCATTATTCAGAGTTTGGGCACTTGTTTGTCGTGCGGGAACTGGGCAACGTTTCTAGGTAGACAGTCGGTACCTACAGAAACATATAAAAAGAAAACATAGTAATAGAGAGAAAATACTGGTAAACCAAGGGCATGGAGCTGGAGTAATAGCTATTGTTAGCTACTCTCACGGAGCAGTACGGGTTAAAACTACGAATTCAATAAACCACAAGTATATAAAGAAAAAGAAGAAAGAAAGAAAGAAAGAAAGAAAGAACGAACGAAAGAACTCAGTCCACCGACAGAAATCAAACGAACAAAAAAAATAAAATAAAATAAAAAACAGAAAATAAGAAAGGAAAAAAAAGAAAAGAAAA